AAGATCCAGGATTAATCTACACGTTATAATTTTAGACTATCTCAGCTTTAACAACGTCAGCCTCACTGTTATATCCGAGAAATTCTGTGACTGAGCGACCTGTAAGGGATACAGTTTTGAAAGGATTATTCATTACAATGGTGTAAGTAATGGTATTGTGTAAGATATAAATACTCAATAAAGACCTATATCTTAGCTTTCATGTGGACAGATGACACTATTTGTTTTTAGGTATGAAGATGTTCTTGGTAAACAGGTAAGCTACTTAGCTATACGAAAGAACAGTAACTGCTTTAACAAGAGGGTTGACAGAAGACATATGACGGAGTTAAACGGAATTCTGACCTGACTGAGTTGTGGAAAGGTACTGGACGGACACAAGTTTCTTAATTGAACAAAAACATATTTATTATTGAAGACAAACAATTACAACTGTATCAATAGGAAATTAGATCACAAGTATCTCTAAATGTGGAGAGATCTGAGTGAAAAATCTAGACAAGGCTGAGAGAATTAACCATTACATACCTGTTTGGTGAGGTCAATTCCCCTAGGTCATATTTTTCATCCCTTATCTCATTAGGAAAAATTAAAGAAACAGAGTCTTTGGGTATTTTAAACCTTTACGATAGAGGCTGAGTGGATCGCATTAATTAAAAGGAATTTGGAACCTCACTGCGTCATTATAATCCAAATTCTACTGCTGTCATTCTCTATCTGATGGCCTTGCACCTTATAATAGCCCTGTAACATAGTTTCCATTGAAAAAGGTCCATCATAAGGTATCATGTCAAACACACACCATTACTTCTTGCTGCTTTCTATAATTCCTCTAATGTATGAAGAAAAAAGTTTCCCAGTGCCCGTTTCAATATTGCACAGAAAATAGGTGTTGCCTCTGGCGACTTGACCAGTATATTTTTTTACAGTAAAGTATAAATATCCATTTCATTCTCCAGTTACTTGAGGTATACAACAGTGTAATGGATATTTTGTGGAAGCAACCTGTGTCGCTTTTCCAAATGAAGATCCTTCTTGATTATGTTGTGTTCTGTTGCCTGGGGCAGCTTTTGACAGTGATCTTTGTGTTCATAAAATCTCACCTGTTACAAGACATCATATTTTATTTACTACGGCTGGCGTATTACTTGTTTTAGGTCTTTTTCTGGGTGGTCTTGGTACCCGAAGGTGATATATTTTCCTGTGTTTTCCAATATCATTAACGATATAGAATATCCCCATCTTGTAATTACTAAATCCCTGATCTAAACACATATTTATTATCTGAGTGTATGAATATCTTGCAATGGAAAGGGATGTTTTATACCATTCGCAAAATCAATCCATATAACGTACTAAATTAGATGAAGTAGATGAATCCCACGTGAAGCAGAAGCCAACGAGACGGAGAACAGTGC